ACCCATACCAAGCACAACTTTTTGGTTGTTGGGAATGTTGGGAGGAATCCTCTCCACAGGCTGGTAGGCTGAACTGGAAAAATACTAAATAAAAGAAACTAGTAAATCTAAGTATACTAGATATATTTGATAAAAAAGAAATAACTTTAAACTTCAGAAAAAAAAAAGTAATACTTTAATATACTAATATTCTGATTTACATTTTAACAGTGTACCTTAATATTAAGTACATAAAATTAGGTTTAAATTACTATTCAAAATAATTACAATAATTAACCTTGTGATATCATGTATGAAACAAACAGTGTTTGATCAAAACTTTTTGACAATGTCTTACACCTTCTGCATAAGTTATAAATGCTGAGATTTTCAAGCTATATTATTTGGATATGAGAAAACAAAAGTTAGTAAATATAAGGAATTGATATATATATATAGAAAGCTTATGTAAACATAGCTTAAACAAATTTTGTGTTTACAAACATTTTGATTTTCAAAATAAGATTATTCATATGGCTGATGTCATAGTTCTTGACAAAACGTTTAGCAACAGTATTATTAATATCTAAGTTGTTAATAACATGAATTAGTTATTTGATGCATATTTGTAAAGAACAGCCTGTTTCCTCAATGTATGTTTGGAAGCAGACACTGCATTCTTATTCATTTATGTTTTTCTTTAATAATAGTTAACCTGCACCAAGTACACTTATCATAAGACATTAGTATTAGGCCTATCATATTTTTAAGCATTAATACTAGTTTTAATCATGCATTGCCTACTTGTAAAAGGCATTCAAACCATAACAATTGTTGACTTAACCTGCACTGTTTTGTTCATTTAACTCCACTTTAAGTCTATCAATTAATAGATTTTTCTTTATTCTTAATTCATTGTCAGCCCTGAACAAAATTTATAAATTTTCTTTAGTTATGGATTCAATACAGCTGAAAAATACGTCCTTAATACTTGAGTAATAATTGACAGAGGTCTCAAATTTGCATGCTCTTGTATATATGTTGTTAGTGCCCTAATGGTAGAACCTATATAACCTAAATTACAGTCAGGATATCTACATTCATATACTACATTCAATCACTGATAGACAGATATCAACCTTAATATCTAAAAACATTTTGTCGCTTATATAGAAGTTTAAACACGCATCTCAATTTTAGTGATGAATTAGTTTTCTAAGGTGATTTATAATTTGTATCACTTGTTTCTTCTCAGCATATGGTAAAACAAAAGTAATTTTTTGTTCTGCTAATTCCCATGTGAGCGATGTAGGAAGGACCCTTTTATTTAAATAATCATCAAAAACTTGATTCATAATAATTGTTGGAAAAGCATATTTTATTGGGAATTCCTTAATGTTTTCTTTCTCTTTATGGAAAAATTCATACTTATTGGTTAACTCATATTCTCAATGAGCTGTTATTTCTGTCAAATTAAAATAAAATCAGATTCAAATTTTCCATCATTGTTGTGAAGAAGTTGCTCAAAAGAAGGAAGTTTATGATTATGTTGTTGATCAACAGTGAGTTTGATACTGGAATGTCTGCTGTTGAGATAGTTTAAATACTCAACATGTTCAACCTATCTAATGTAATATCTTCTGTAATATATTGGATTAAACTGTACAGGACAGTCCTAATGCCACTTTTTCCGATGATGACAAAGAAATACATCTGCAAGTGATGGGGCTTATCTTGATCCCATAGTAAACCCACTTTTCTTGTAGCAAAGAGTGCCTAAACCACACTTGGATACAATGAATTGTGTTACTACAGTGTTTTTGAGGGTTAAGTGAGAATCTGCCTAGAACAGTTTTGAGAAGTTTGCTTGGTTTCTCTGTAAAATGAATTGGTGAACCCAAGTTCCTAATGATTTTAAGTTTCTGGGATACAGTTTGAGGTACACTTTAAACATTAAAAAATATGTAATAAATTAAAAATACTTTTCTCACCTGAACTATTATAAGAAATATTGAACTCAATGTTCAAATCTAGTCTATCAAGAACTGATACAATTATTAACATTTCACAAAACCGTAACAGAAGTAAAAAGAAGTATGCTCAAACGGTAAACATTTAAGAATGAGGACACATAATACCTGAATCTAGATTGTGGACATGTAATTAATTTACATGATACAAATTATAGGAGTTCAGAATAAGAATACTAAAGTAAAAGAATGAGAAAGCACAACAGAAACTAATTACCAATAATACCTTAAAACATATTAAGTAAATCTCTCAGTTTTAATAATAGCATACAAAAGTGATCTTGATGGAAATGAATGAAAACCGTACAACCCGAAAGCTTTTGAAAGATGGACCTTTATTCTTTAGGGGCAAAATGTTCTGACCAAGCTCATCCATTATTTCCATTTACTTTTATAGCTACCCCAAGGATACTTGACTGTGTTATATGAGCATGTGTTCCAATTTTGTTTCTGCTAGCTTACAAGTGGGGGTACGAACATTGTTTCAAACATGGTTACCTAGGATCCTGAGGCAGGCCAGGAACACAAAATCTAATGCCAGATTCGGGTTTATCAACCCTGAAAACTATACTATATAGATAAGGAGACCCCCTCAGACCACCCTGCATCTGCATGCCACGTTTATTCCTGCTAGCTCCAGAACTGTGGAAGGAGTTAGCTGAACATACATAAGAGTTGAATTAATATAGGATTACAATTGCAATAAATTGGTTACTTCGGTGTGAAAGAAAACATTATGTTAACCCAAATTCAGTTCTAATTCTTGTGAATTGCAAAAGCACCAACATATATAAAAAATATACACATATTTATAATCTTTCCCTTCACTTTACTTGTAATGCAAACAGTGCTACCTCTCATTTCTGATAATACACATTTAAAAAAAACATCTAGTTAATGAATCTTCCCCAGTGCAATCTTAAATGGCTAAAACCATTTACTAAAACCATTTATATGGGCTAACTATATCTACTGGAATTGTTTATTGTGCTAAGAACTGTAAGTTAATATTTAGTTTAGTATATTTTAAAACTTAAAAAGTGTACCAACACCTGAAAAATGGCTCATCTCTAAATGCAATATTTCAATGTCACATGAAGTTTACAAGAAAGATTTTCCTAAATGACACACTCACACACACACACATTTTATCTTTACAAAGACATTTTCACTATGAGTTATCATGACAAATGGAAGCAAGAGCTGAATCTGTATCATCAATAATTTTATATGTAACTAGTATTTGATGTAGTTATCTGAAAAACAAAACAATTTTGGAATAAAAAAAGTAGAAAAAAAGGAATTATTTAGTTGGGCTGTACTATAACTGTTAGTTTCAGAAATTAACGAAATAATGAACAAAATTTTGATTTGAAGAATATTTGGAACTTTTCCAAAATGTAGAATGTACAGTATAATGAGTAAAAAATTTAAAAGAAATTAGCTTGTACACTTCTCAATTCGCTTTAAATTTGGTGTAAAAAGCATTATTAGTATTTCTAAGAAAATGAATCTTAAAATATTTTACTTGTCTATCTACCTAAATAATATTGAGATAGGGATGTTTTAAGACCAAATCATAAAACATTAAGTCATTATCTTTCTTTAAAAGGTTAATATTAATATTGGTTAATTGACAACTCTATATACTACACATATTTCAAGCAGCATCTGCCATCAAGCATCATGATAAACTAAATAATAAGCTGCTTAAAACATTGTTCCAGTTATTAAAGGTTATTTAGCAAGGGTTTCATAACTTTCTTCTTTGTGCCTTCATAAATTGACAATACAAGTATGTAAAATACTTATAACGAAAGGTTTTGCTAGTGCTATATCTACTAATATATCTATATTTGACCCATACAATTTTCAACACTGAACTTAGAGACTAAACAGAATAGAAAAAGACATGAAAACACACACATATATAATACATAAAACAAATATTCTAAGAATTGTTAGAACCAGAAAATATTACCAACTGCAAAATGTCCTCTTCTTTTGGCACAACTAGTAACTCCAAGCTTCTGCTGCTGGGAAAATAATAACATTTAAAACTAATAACAATAACACTTACTTGTACTTCAATAACTTTAAGTACTTCTGTGCAAAACAAAAAACCTAAAAAACTTGCATCACGCTAATATCAAAATTAAACCCTTCAAAAATTGTCTTGATTTCCCAAGAACAGAGATTCTCAAACCATGGTATGTGGAGCTAATGTTAGTGTTGCATGAAGAAATTACTGTAAAAATTATAAAATTTGTAATAAGCCTAATGTCAGCTTTACAAGTACATATACACACTATTCTCCTTTCTTCTAGACTCTCCCTCTATCTGCATAGAGTTGACAGTGTTTTCTTCCATTTTATTTGACAGAAATCATGCCACGTATTCTTCATTTGTGCCAGAAAAAACAATCACATCCTCCCATTAATGAGTAAGTGCTAAAAATATTAATCTTTGCTACAAGGTTTTTTAGTATTTTTTATTATTAGGCCTGTGTTTGTCCTTTAAAAAAAAGTGAAAACAAAGAGTGTTAAAACAAGCGTGAATAGTTTGAGAACCACTGCTCTGAGGTATTATACAGAAAAAACTCATTATCAAACACAATCTTCCTGTTCACTTATTTATTATAATTTATAATTAACTAAGAAATATTTTTTGTGTTTCAATATATGTAATGGGTACCAGATGATAAACCTATATCTGTATATACTTATCTACAAAAAATATCAACAATTACACCTATCATACCAACACATTTTTTTAAAAAAGACAAATAAATGTGTTTATTAATGAAAAAAAAAACTGTTCATTTTGCATTTTTCTTATACTTCTCAAAACAGTAAAAATTATTGTATCCTAGTTATCTTATTAACATGGTTCTTAGTAAAACTGAAAAATTCTTAAACCTCTCATATATGAATAAGCATACACAACAGTAGGTTTGATATATTCTAAGGAAAACCTCCAATAGAATATCTTATTTGATGTTAGTTAGAATAAACTGTCTTCAAGAAAGAGTATTTTCAAGATAAAACCTCATCATGCAACATATTCTAAAAAAGGACAGACTTAAGATCATTTTTGTCCCAGAGATGTAAAATCAAACCAGATTCTAATCCTCTAAGAACACAGTAATCTCCAACTGGGATGGGCAAATAATACTAGAAGAGTTTGGTTAAGTTTCTGTGTTCAAGGAGTTAAATGTTTGTTCCGAAAGATTAACATATAAGATGGGACCACAGCTGAGCTGACTACTACCGTACTACCAGCAAAACAGCATGTGAAGTCCCCGATGTCGAGAATAACCCAGATGTGAAGGTTAAGAGTAAGGCAGAGAGATTAAAGATGTGACAGATCATCTATTAATTCAAAGACATAGCTAAGGCATGGAAATGGGGCAAAAAATGAGATGTGGGATACTTTTATTCACTCAAATTCGATGACAAGGAACCCACTTTGAGACTAATAATGGCTGGAGACGGCTTGAATGGGTAATGAAGAAAAACATAACATAACAGCAAATGTACAATGTTTTGACAAGGTTTTGTCATCATCAGGTATTGTTATGTTAAACTTATATTAAAGTTTTTCTTCATTACCCATTCAAGCCATCTCCAGCCATTAGTTTATTCACTCAGTTATGTTATAAGTATAATTTACTCAAAAATCAGTTTTTGATGTGTCATTTGAAGCTTTTATAATAGCTTTTCTTAACACTACAAAGTGTAACATCAATTTGTTCAAGCATTCTGATATTTGTATGTTTATCTAAGTAAAATCTAGCATAACATAAATCTACAGGGTTATGAATCATTAATACACTAGTTAATATCTGGTTGTTTATCCCTAGATCCAAACTGTGTAAATCTTCAGCCTACATGAATATTTCAAGGACACTTTGAATGGAACATGTTTATAAATAAATGCACCCAGAAGGTTTGCTGAATTTCACACAAAGCTACTCAAAGTGTGTCCTATCTGCACTAGTTGTTCCCTAATTTGAAGCGGTTGCCTTTTGTGTTGTTACCAAAACAAAGGCTTTCACTGTCACATCTATCTTCTCGATTTTTTTTGTTTTCCACATGCCTGTTCTTTTTTCTGTGTCACTGGTATTCTTATCTTGCATTGCTTACTCAAACAGTCTTCTGTCTCAGTTTTCCATCTGTTTAATCTTTCAGTGGTTGGTTCTAAGCTTAACCTTGTACAAACACTGGCAGCTATGATTAACAGAATACTTTTACACAAAATGTGAGGAGACTTTTCATCACAGTCATTTGTGAGACATATAAGATCAGCATCCTGGATTTACAGATGCATCTAATTTTAGTATTTACATGACTCTTACTGCAAAACCAGCTTATGATATTACTACTCTTAGACAAGAATCACCTTTAAAAAAAAAAATTTCAAACCTTGAGTAATACTCAAATGCAATCAAACAGGTAACAGAAAATAGAAAGCTGGTGATGAAAAAAATGGTAGCTGGTCCAAAAGAGTCCTCCTATACATTACAGGTTTACACAATAATTTTAACAGTATGTGATCATTTATCAAATATCGTCACAAAAATAAAAGAGCAATGTCATTATTCTGCTTTTCATACAAACAAGTACTTTTGTGGTGCTCTAATAACAAAATATGCAAAGAAGTTTGAATTCAGCTACAAACTGCAGTTTTAATATTATCTACATTTTAATAAGCATACAGTAGTACATGTACGTTACTTTTCAAAACAACGGGGGCAATACATTTTGTGAGAATATTTCTTGTGTGACAGTAGATCAGTATAGTAGCTCAATATATTTCAAGTTTCTCACATTAAAACATTACTGGTAGTTAATACATCTCTCCCCAGAGTTTCCTATATGTTTTCCCTTTCCCATGAACATATTTGCTGACCATTTCATAACTCATCAAAATTAAATTATAATATGTATATTTATAGTTAAATACTCTAATACATCAAAGTAAGCTACATCACAATTAGTCTTACAGGACTTTGAAATGTTAATAAAGCTGAACTATGTAGAGCCCAAAATGTAATATGATGTAGACACTGGGTAGTTTGAAGTACAAAAACATTACTTTGGAGAGACTAAACTTAAAAACTGCATTACCAAAGCTTCATACTAATAGATTCTGAGCACATTTCATTTATCATTTTAAAATTAACTCGTTTACAAAAATTGTGAAACATATTTAATCCTTATTTTTAGTTTTTCTTAACTTAAAGTACCATTTTACTGTTAAACATAGCTCAGTTCCCACTCACTTGGTCTAGAGCTTTAAAAGCACTAGGCATACATCACTATATAAATTTACAAAAACAGGATATATTGACACAGGATTATCTTAATTTAGGAATTTTTTTCTTTTATTGTGTCTTGGTAATGATCTTAATTAATGTTGACACACATTTAGCATCATTATATATAATCACTACAATTGTTTAATAAAATCCCCCCAAGTTTCAACAATCAATAAAGCTATACAATATTTGGCTACTTTATGTTGTTTCAATTGCTTGTGATATCAAGTTCGTGACTCTTTCATTTCAATTTTATATCACTAACACTATAAGAATGAAAGACTAAATTGTTATGGATAAGACATTCTTACCAAATATTATTCATTGAGTATGGTGTTTTGTTTATCTTTTAATCACAAGAGTAAACTTATATAGGTTTTGAAGAATATTTAGCATTTCTTCTGAATTATTTAACAGATAAGGTGTTTAAAATACTAAAAATAAAAACTGAACTGAATACTAGATTGGGCTTCATATTTATTATTTACTTTTAAAACATAATCCTTTTAATCCATATTAATAAAGAATGCAACAATGGTCTATGCCATATTTAGAGCATGTTTTGTCTCTTGTAATGAAAAGAGAAGACTTCTCCCATCATCGTGAAACACAATTTTAAAATCTCCAAAATATTACAACCGATACCCATTCACTTCATTTTGAACAGTGTAAATTACTCATTTCTGCTGAAAAAATGTGTTTAGCTATTTAATCTCTAGTGTTTTAAATGTTATATAAACATCAATACTATGGTTCTGGAAAGTCTAATAGATATGTTAAAGTAAAACAAAAGTATTCAGTGTACATTATCACTGTTGGAGCACATTATAATGTATAGTATCTTAAAATTTAAGAACAAAAAAAAAGAAACATTTTACCTGTTCTGAATGAGACCAATAACCTCTGGATAAGTTTTTCCTGTAATAGGATGACCATTAACTGACACAATCCGATCACCAATTACCAAGCCTGCAGAGTGAGCTGGACTTCCTTCTTTTACCTCCCGTACAAAGATTGTATCCATAGCTTCTCTTCTTTGATGGTTGCATTCTGTTGAAGAAAAGTAATTGTGTTTATATCTACTTGTAAGAAACTAATGCAAAAACAAATATAGGTTTTACATAATTAACAATAATTGTATAAATTCTGGTAAGTAGTTTAATTATGCATGTTGTAGTAGAAGTAAAATCATACTAATCTGTATAATCCAGTGGTTACTCATAAAACAATATTTCATTCAGGACTTGTGAGTAAGTGTATTAAATCTCAACAAAAAAAGCCAGTGCAAGATCAAGATGCCACTGGTATTAAGAAATACATGTGCTTCTAACTGTTCAATGATTTGTATATACATTTGGTTCAAGCCTCCTTCCCTAATGCAAAATAAGTGTTATGTATAATGAAATGATAATTTTACCACTTAAATAAAGAAAATGTATATTTAAAAATAAAGATTCAAGAGTTTTCTAATGACATAAATAATGCTTTATTATTAAATCTAAGTTATAAATAATATTTGCAGTGATTTAATAGGTTTTTAATGAACTTCTTGAAGCATATGAGCAAATTATAAAGTTTATTTTAAAACATTCCTTAAGATTATGCTGGCATCTTCATTTTTTCATAACTTTTACCTATAGCTCTTGTTAGCTTGGATGATTTTAGCATCCCTTTCATGTTTCATGTGGTTAAAGTCTGTTATACAGCAATTTTCTATATTTACATACAGGCATGACTGGTCTCTTTCAAACAATAATCCTATCGGAAAATCAAAATAGATGTAACAAATGTCTTTAATAACTTTGTTTTAGTAAAAAGTAAATTGGTAGTATAGAACTATTTAAACTTTACTATCTCTCTCTCTCTCTATATATATATATATATATATATATGTGTGTGTGTGTGTGTGTGTGTGTGTATTCCAGTTTACTACTTGCATCACTTCTATTCCTTGAGTGCATGATGTAGCAATATTATAGTGACCTGCTATTTAAGTAATAAATCTAAATTTCACTGCAATTGGTATACTTTTCAAATTATTCTTGATTAATTTAGCTCTGGTGTTTATTTATCACATATAGTTATTTTTCTTCTCACAAGTAGTTAAAGCTTAGCAAATTAACTGATTAATTGAATTTTTGATTAATTATAATTTTTTTGATTAGTCAAAACTGTAATCAGTCCCCACTCATATGTATTTGATTAATCAAATTTAATGTTTCCAATAAGTACCGTTTTTGATTATTGCAATAACTGATTAATCAAAATTATGATTAATTGTATTGTAAAATGTATGTATATTAAGTTCTAGTCACATTTTTTTCAAATTCTTTACGATATATACAGGAAATCTTAATAAAATACAAAAAATAAAAGCACTGTGTTTCTAAAGCAAAGATATAACAAGAGAGATTTACTGGTTTAAATTACCAAGTGTTTTTTAGGTAATACTATGAGAAAAACATTCCAAGCATCCTTATTCATTCCATAATAGTTTTCAAACTTTGTAAGTTAAAAGTTATGGTTATCAAAAGTCTTATTTTACAAAATAAATTGATGTTGTTATAATTTTTGTGTTGTTTTACTTTAACCCTATCAGGACAGGCACCTGTATTTTACAAAACCTTGTAACTACCATGTAACCATGGTGGTATACATACTATGACTCAAAAAGTACTTAATGTATCTTCATGAAATTAGGCAAGCTTTCAGTAAACTTAAAAAGTCTTTTGTAAATAAAAATATCAGGATTTTCAATTAAGTATTTTTAGTCAAACTTTCTATTTAATTATATGGTGTCAGAGTGTTGACTGCTCCGAGTGTAAAGTGACCTTCATATCAAAATTATGAATACTTTTCTCCACCTGAAAATTTTCAAATTTTGTTTCCATAATCCCTAAAATTTTCTAAATGAACATTAATTTTTTTTCCAAAAACTTTGAAGCTTATCTCTTATTTTCTCTACCCTAACGCTATATGAGGTTGGTCAATTTATTTATACTTAAATTCTATTCTTTTATCACCCTTTAAACCATGTCTAAAGTAATATTCCAACCATAAAATTTGAAATTACTTGGCAAACATGCAGTTCACGTTACCCTATCAAATTACATAACACACAGGCTACTTACATGAAAATATTTTATTATTACTCTTTATTTTACCTAAATTAACCTACAAAGTTTCTGATATTTACATTTTAGTTACTTTTATAATAATAATAAATAAAGAATACACATGAAAAACAAGAAATAAAGTACTTACCTGGGGTCATCTTCATTTTGCTGTTGACTGTTGATAACACTTAACCCTACGTTTTTATATTAATGGTACTACTGCAATGAATAATTTTTTTAGTTAATTAAAGAATGCTCCAAATATCACAGAATAATAACATGCAAAAAGCAGAATATGTCCCATAACTATCACACTTATTTTGAATTCCTAACTATGTGACAAAAGCTGTTAGAAATTAAGCTAAGCTCATTGATGTCTTTCTCATGTGAATGAAGCTTGAACTGGTAGTGAAACTGACATTTATCAGTGCAGAAAACAATGTAATATGTCATTTGATAGATTGAAACTTTGGCTTTCTATTAGTTATAAATAATATAATATTAAACATCAGAGAGAACTATTAGCAATTCATGAAATAGAGGATGTGACAGGTGGGTGGTCTGATTTTCTAGTTTATGGCTCTGAAACCAAACCAGATTGAAGGCTATAAAAATTACATTTTGCTGAGCAATAATTATATTATAATAAGTAATTTATGTAGAATTTCCAAGTTCTTGAAGGGGTGGTAAATAAATTATAGAAGAGGGAAGACGTATATAACAAATGTCACAGTTCTCATACTAAAAGCGATTGAGTTTTTTTTTTAAAACATTTCCTTATAAAATTAAGAACTTAAAATTTAAATACTATTAAAATTTGATTTATTAACTATGTTTTAATACCAAAATTATTTGTATATATTTATAATAAAGTAGTTTAATTAGATTTTGAAAGTAACTCTGTGAAATATTGTGATATGTGCACTTTAACGTACCCAATGCGAAAAGGTTAAATTTAGGATACTTAATGAATACTCAAAATACTAGGTTTTCACTTGGGCTTCCATTTGTATGAACAACCTCTCCCATAAATGCTTATGGTATTTTTATGTTTATAAAATTGTTTGTTGTTAACTATTTTGAAGTTTTTCACATTATTTGTGATGGATTTATTTTTTAAATCCTGAAACATCAGTAATTCAAGATTTTTTTGGTATTATTGTTGTTGTTTTTAATATTTCTTATAATACTTTGATTTGCACCTTATGAATCATTTTAATATTTGCAAAATAGACATCTAGTATCACTTACCATCACGAGTTTTCTTCAATTTATTACCAAATAATAAATTATGTACTGCTTGTTTTTCTAGGATCAGAGTGAACTTATTTTCACTGAGTTATATATTATCACACTGTAACAACACAGAATCTTTTATAGTTTTATCACAAGAAAACTAAGGTCAATTATGTTTTAACAAAAAATTAATTTATTCAGTAATTAATGCACTAAATTCTGATATCCCAGTTCGTTATAACAATGTTATACTCATTTTAGTAACAACAATGATACTTAAATGAAAAATTAGTTTACTGAGTTATAAATATTTCAGTTTTCCATAACAATTCTATAACTCTTTTCTTAACTCTGATTGGTCATGCAGCACCCCTTAGTATACTAGCGTAAACTGGTTAAAAGTTAATAGCCTAAATATATTCTCAAACCTATATCCAATTCATAGGTTATTTGCTCATAAAAGTGAAATCATGTGTCACATGTTAACTTCACAGTCTTAAGGTAATAGTGTGTACAGAACCCAATCATTATCAATGATACAGCAAAGGAATGAACAACATGTTAATTGTTTTGCAAAGTTGAATCTTTTGTGAAGTAAAAGTGAATCAGCTATATGGGAACAAGACTGTCCTAATGAATATGTATACGTACATTGTGAAGCAGGGCTGAAATTTAATGGCACAACAACAGACATGCAAAAAAATATACAGCTTTTCCACAGTGTTGTATCAAAGCACTATGGTTAAAACTCCAGCAGCAAGAGATTTAACTGAATCACTATCTTCATCACAATATCACATATGAGCAATATTAGTTACAGTACTGCAAGTTCAACATCTGTACACCAATCACTAAAAAAGACAGTCAGCTATACAAGAATCTTTAGCAGTTAAAGCTAAATATCCTAAGGAAAACATTAAATAGAAAAAGGGTAATAGAGGCATTAGTAATCTACATAGCTAAGGGTATCCATCCATTGCAAACTATGGAAAAACCTAGCTTTCTAACATTGCTTGAATCTTATCCCAGAACTATAGACCAGTATTCAAGAAGTTTTGGACCAACTTTCTAATGCAAGTAATATGGTCATTACTTGTGACATGTGGACATCTAGAGCAAATGACCAGTACCTTGGTTTGACTGTTCACTTCACAAACCAATAATGGATTTTCAAAAGCTATATTCTTCAAAACTGTGAGCTTCCACCACATCAAAATTCTGAAGTTATAGCTCAGGCTGTTACTCAGTGTCTAGAAAGTTGGAATATCTTGAATAAGGTTGAAGTAATTGTGTCGGACAGTGCTTCCAACTGTGTGAAGGCTGTTAGTAATGTGCAGCAAAAGTTAAAACCATGCTTTGGCCATACCCTGAACTTATGTATCAAGAAAGGACTAAATGCAGAAATGGAGCTGCTGAATGCAGCTGTTCTAAGTTGAGTGAGCATTTCCATCAAAGTGTTATTGCCAAATATTGTCTGGTAAACAAGCAAAAACAGCTTGAACATAAGCCGATTTTCCTTTGTGAGACGAGGTGGAACTACAGAGCAACAACAACCCATATGTGCAGTAGTAATGGAGTTGAATAAACCAGAGTTCATGCAAGAATTAGAAAAGAGTAATGTAGAAAAGCTTACTCAGAAATTCAGCAATGAATCTTATGTCACTGTATCAGAACTGTTACCTACAATGCATCAGTTAAAAATCTTCCTTGAAAAAGGCCGAAAGAAACTCGGGAGTAATAGTGCAAATTAAACAAGCAATTTTCGAGGATTATGAAAATAAATATACATCAGCTGACATTCTGATGAAAGTGTGCTTTTTAGATGCCAGACTTAAAGACATACCATTCTTGAATAAATATGAGAAAGTAAAAGGTGTAATATGATAAAGGATGTGTCTGTCTGAAGTCTGAAGACAGGGTTCCCCCGAGTATTATTTTTATGTTTATATTATTGAAATAACATATAATCATGATTTTTAAAATAAAAACAATATCAACCTTATTGGTAAATGTTGATGGTAAAAGTTAAATGTCTCCATTTTATTTACAGTAGATTACTATATATTGTAAAAGAAACATAATGGTGATATTTAGCTGATATTAGTGATTCATTCGCCAAGTATTATGTTTTTGTGAAAAATTCCACAGAAGTAACATACTATCCAAATAAGTAGTGAAGATAACACACAAGCACTCCTGTTTTTTTCATTTTCTTTGATTGTATGGACATGCCAGTAGGGTGTTTGCATGTATTAACTGACTAATGAGTATATCAATTAATCAGTTAAATCATTAATCACCTAGCTCTACAAATAGTATGAATTTTATTTCAAAATACAAAGTATTGTATTCATTAGTGGACATTTCTTAAATCTGGAAAATGTCTCCCACCTGAAGAGAAGCTCAATAATGAGCTTGGAAACTTGCAACAAAAGAAAAAAATTGGAGTTAGCGAGGAAGTAAAAGTTTCTAAAATTACTCCCACATTTAAAACTTGCTTGATGTAATGTCAATTTTTAGTTTTAACCTAATAAAGTTGTACCTAAGAGAAAAAGTAATGTCTATAATAATTCACTTTCACAACACATACTGAGATTGAAAATGAACAAGATTGCTCCTACTTAGAAGAAACTAAATAACTCAAGAAATTGCTGTATAGTCAAAAAAGTATGTCAGTTGTAAAAGGTTTGCATATTTGCGTATTTGTATTTAATGTACTTCAAAAGTCTATTCAAATATAAATGTTTTTGTTTACAAAAAACCCTAACATCTAAAAGTTAGTCAGGATAATTACCTGTTCTTTCTATATAAGGTTCTTCTTTCTCTTGACCCTAAAATAAGAAAGCACTTGTTGAAAACATTACTTAAAATAATGGAATCATTTCTGGATAAATAACTTGTATTTTTTCTAAAACCTTTCAGATCAACATGGAAGAACATTAATCAAAATGATGATATCAGGAGCATAAATAAGCTGTAATAGTAATAACAGTACACGTGTACATACACACATATCTCATTTTTAATAGTGGATTAAACAAAAAACTAAATATGTTTCATGTATCAAATAGAATACATGTAGCCTGGATTTTATTATGAACTACATCTTTATACTGCTGATAACTGCTTATTCAAGTACACTATAAAAGATAGACCCAAAGATAGGAAATTACTTCATTTTGCTATCCAATGCTAGAATACTGGATCAAAAGAGGAATATTAAACAATGGTTAAAAACCTTATACTCAACTATGGAAAAAGGAAAGCGGAACTAGCAAAAAGGAGACATAGACAAGTGCATATGAATATAGTCTATTACCTAACATGAGCAAAGACTGGTGGAGAATTTTCAAATTACACCACATTCAGAAAAGGCAGAGGTATTGCTGATCAATACATAATGAATATGCTATCAGAGATGGTTCTACATCATCATCTTGTTAAGTAAACTGGAAATGTGATGAAAAATACTCAAAGAACTACACACAATTTTGATAATTTTAACATATTTCTAAAGTCATTCCAAAAAAAAAGTAATGCACAAAGTGTTTTAACAGTATTTTTTACTGCCTGATGCTAAAATAGCAGTATTTTACACAGAATGAAAATATGAGCAATATAAGCTATTTCAAATGCTAATTTTGAGAAAGCAAATAATGCAATTCAATAATTTATTCAATGAAACAATTTAAGTATGTACCTGAGAAAGAAACAATTAAGGAAAAAATAATATTTAAAGAAACTTAAATCATTGGTTGCTATTTTCTAACTGCACAAATTTCTTTTGAAACCATGATTTTCTCCTTATATAAACTATTTTTGGTAAATGTGTGAAAAAACGTTTCTCTAGTATGTTGTAGCAGGTAACAGTTTACTTTGAGCCTGAATGTAAGTAACTGATTGTTATATACATTATCAATAAGAAACTTACAGGTACTAGAGTACAAGTACACTCACAGACTGTGACGTAATGTTACTGTCTTAGCCGTATGGTATTAATAAATGCTCAGCAGAAAGTGTGTTTGCTGACACACTGAAGAACTAAAAGATAAAAGTTTTATAAATTAATTCTGGTATTTTATACATTTACTACCAAAAACAAAAAGCAACTAAAATTTTACAAATTACAATATGACTGACGAGTATAAATTCAGTAACTTTCATGTCCATTTTATTAATTTGATGAATGATAAACATGATGTGTTCATAATTGTGTAATCCTGGTAACATTGCAACCAATAGAGCATCTGTTTTTTAATTTAGACATATTTAATTTGGGCTTAAAGACCATTTAATGATCCCAAAAATGGGCAATATCAGCTTCTGACATACTTATTAACATGAAATAATTAACTATGACACAGTTACAGTTAATTTTAGGATTCTAATTAATTTTATTGCTAGTAGCCTTCCCAAATTTACTAGAAGGGAAAAAAATAACTAATAACCACTTTCTAGTTCCATTTATGTCGAGAGGACAGATGCATAGTGATGTCAGATGTAAAAGCCTAAAATAGCCCAGCCTATATTAGAAAATACACAGAAAGAATATTTTTTGTAATATAAAAGAAACCTTGGACAGTCAAGAGAACTGGAAGTGGAAAAAAAAACTGCAGTATTGATTTCTTTTAACCTTGATTTTGCTGTTTCCATTGTTCTTGAGAGGAATGGTATATCTTGTTACTATCATATTGATAACATGACTGGAAAATAAAAAGGTCTTTGTCACACATGCTTGAAGCAAGATGAGAGTAAAATACATCTTCTTACTTATGATAATTATAGAGAACTTAAAAAACTCAAAAACAAGTGCAAAAAACCATAAAATTTAGATCAGAGTTAGTTTATAAAATTATCCCAAAACATTTCAACAGCTGGATAAGTCAAAACAGAAAAAGAGGAGTAAAAATAGTGAAATCTTAGGAGGCATATAACACTAAAAATAACAAATCACAAAAATATCATCAGAGAGAACATAAAAGAAATCAGCAAATATCTGTAGAGTGGAAGACAACATTGAAGCTAAGACACCATGCAAGATAAACAAGTGCAAGTTCAAGAAAAGTATTTAACAAAAAGAAAATAGAATACAGTATGAATTCTCAACAAATCTATGGGCATGAATATTTGCAAGAGTAATGACCTCGATGATCAGAGTTAGTACTGCCAGAACACACCACAGCATTGCTCCGACACATAAAATTGGAGATGAGTCCAGATATTTCAAAAACAAAAATAAGTTATTCAGTTTACACATGACGTTAAACATCTTTCATGTCCAAACTCTCAGTGTATCAGAGAACATTCTAGCTGTTTGTGCTCCTCCATGTCTACTGATAGAGCTCTCACAGACTGTCCAGCACATGCTCTGTCACTCTCTCTTAGGAGTTGGCATCAGACATCATGTGACCTCTCTGGTTCAGAAGCAGGAGTGAGAGCATTAGAATAGTGAAATATTTTTTTGTCATACATCACGTGGTTATTAAGACACACGAATATGGTATTTAAACGCTTAATAAAATACATTTTACAATTATACTGTGTGTTTAGAATGAACACATTTATTAAAAGGCTTATTATTTAGATAATATATAACAAAAGATGTTTTCTTTTTTTTAGTTATTCATGTTGCCAGCAAAAGCAAAGTTGTAATACTACTTGCAGACTATTGTTGCTAAACCTAAAGGAAACAAAGTTTTGTGTATATGGTACACAGTTATTGATGTTTTCTCCTTGCTGCTTAACTTAAAGGAAGTTGAGTTGTATGTTTTCTCTTTGTAAGACATATGTATTCAATTTATTACTAATTAATGTAATTAGTCTCAAATAATTAGTGATACTTAATGGACTCACAAAAATGGAAATTAGGTTTTCAGTAGGAAATCTTTACCCTGATATGTGTAACAAGTTTTAAGAAATTTGGTAGAGCTACGGCACTACAATATTTAGCACTACACCACTGTCTATGACGTATGATGATCAGAGTCTGTTATAAACAGGAAGAAACATTGAGAACGTCATCATGTTGCATAAAAATATTTCTTGAAACATGTGAAGACTGATTAAATACAAGGCTGATGGGAAGGACTGACTACATTTTTGTGAAACTTTACCATGCATAATCTCCATTACTGATGTTGACATAAATGAAAGGTGAGAATGGCTTCTGGGAACTTCTTGCCTATTTCACACTGAAGCACAGACATCAAGCACTGTCTCAATTCCACTTTGTAAATATAAGCCAAACAAGCAGCACAAACAACAGCTGGAATTAAAAACATAAATACAAACACCTAGGTTATATTTCAAGCCTAACAGAACAGACTCATAGTTTATCTATTAAATAAAAATATGCCAAACCTAAAGTCACATACTTCAAATGATGTGATGACTACTATGAAAACTAACACTGGAGCCAAAATTACCGATGTGTTTACTGCTACTTTTATACAGATTTTTTGCATCTATATACACAAACAGCACAAGTTATCATGGTAATAGCCATTGAGCATTAATAATGTGATGGAACTGGATAAAGCATATAAAAAGTAGAAAGCTTAGAGTATACAAAGAAAGAGAGTATTTGATACAATGTTTGTAATAACTTATATTCTGCATACACTGTTGTAATGTGTTCTTTCATTGGGCAGGTTTATTTAATTTACGTGGTCAAAATAATGGCCAGACCAGTCCATGTAATGATAACAAATTAGTTTATTTATTCCTTAACACTTGCCACAGGCTGCTATAATTTGTACACAGTTGTAGGTCAAGTTCACAAATAATGTTTTCACTTACAGCATAGATTTACTCACTAATGGCACTACAACTAACATACAGACAAACTTCCTTATACAGTTTAACAGATAATCAATTGAATAACCAAATATATATGAATCAATGAACAGAAAACTCCCTCCCTCCTATTTATATCTATATTTTGTTCTAGATATTGCACAAAGTCTCTCAACCACTAACATTCACAAATAGTTTATGCATTCTAGGACTACTTTTATAGACTTAATTGATCTTAATATCATGTGCCTTCTAGCAAACATCTAAATTAAAACAAGGAAAATATAGCTTACAACACTGCTCCCTTCCTGGACTATGAAGTCCTTTGAACAATCGTAACACCCCAAAAAATAAAACATGACACTAAATTGTTCATTCAGAAGTCTTTTTCATGGTTTTCTCTTCCGAGGCCCATGGTATACAGACAGGATAGACTTTTGTTCCTTCTTGACATTGGCTGTCTTGTCACTGGAAGGAGTTTTTCCTAGTTAGGTGGTTGAAAGAATCCATTGGGAGTTCTATCCTTGTTGTTCCTCTCGAAGTGGTCTCGACAGGAACCTTGATCTCCTCAGCAGGCTGACTTTCACTTGCAAATTTTTCTCTGGAGTTACCCAGAGAACATCTCACCAACATACTTTCAAAGATGATCATGGTGGATGACCATTGACACAGAAAACCCTTCCTTCTGGATTCTGTAATCCACATCATTGATTCTTTTGAATATGATGTATGATTCTTCCAAAAACTTACTTAACATTGGAATTTATCCTTTCTTGCAACAAGAACTGTTCAGCCATACTAAATCACCTCGATGAAACCCAGTTGTATCAGCATTAGCATAATAGTGATTTCTTATTTTATTAAAAGCTGATTTAAGTCTTTCCCAGGTAAAGTGATATGCGACATCTTTATTCTTCATATACATAAGAGCTCTTCTAAACACCAATTCTGCAAGATATGCTGAAGTATTTGGCTCCATTATGCTCCAGTCATTACACGTAGATTTATTGCTGCTAACTCTTGGTGAAAGTATTTCACTTCTAGTGGTACACAATGATGTAATAATTGCCATGTAGTACATGGAATTTCTTGGCCATACACTGTGAAGTTATTTGAAGCTAGCCTAACCAAATGTTACTGCACGATGTCAATTTCTAATATGAACTCTTCTTATATATTGTTGCATATACATTAAATACAAGAAATAATAAAAAAGCAAACCATTACAAAAATAATAATCTAACATAAACCAATCTTCTGATGTTGCTGAAGATAAGATATGGGAAAAAAACTCAAATGAAAAATATAGTGTGTGTGTGTGTGTGTGTGTGTGTAG